TTGAAAAGAATCGTTCTACACGTACAGACAGATCCCTGCCAGGTAAGAATCAAGTGGGGGTGGGCTCCACAATTTTTTAAAAATACATGTGGGGCCCGCTCCCAAACAATGACAAGCCCCTGTGAAGATAAAACCTGTACTTGCAGGTTTTTTCCTTTAAAATTTGTTGTTTCTAACTTTTCCTTTTTATTAACACTTTCGCTTTTTTCCCCTTTCGTTTATTTTTATTGCCCTTTTCAAATTAGTTCAAATCCAACTTTATGTCAGTTGAACTCGATTTATGATTGGATAGTACAATTATTATATGATCGAATTATGTATGTCAATATCTTTTCGTTTATATGTTTTGATCATCTATGTTATCTCTCTAATCCATGGATTTAATTTTTTAAACCAGATTTTAACAATGTTACTTGGTACAAGCATAGCAGCAGGATGGCAAACATATGCCCTAATCAAGTGTGGAGACCCTCATTTGGGATGGTTACCCATATGCACCATAGTGCCTGAATTTTGCAACAAAATAATAGGCTCATTGGTTGCTACTTCTATTGCATGCTTCATGAGTTTGGTGCTTCTTTTATGTTCCTTTCATGTTAGTTTGAATCCCTTTATGTTGGACTCGTCTTAATTCCATTCTTGACTAGTTTTTGCAATCAAATCTTCAAATTTATTTTTTATATTCACAAATTTTAAATCGTTTATAAAATTTTTGTTTGGGGGGTTGATGATTTGGTTGTGTTTCCTACATATAATATGGAAGAGCGTTGATTTTTTTTTCTTTTTTTTTTCGTCTTCTTTTATGATATTAATGACTTGATTGGGAGTTGTTTTTTTCAACAATTTTGATTGATTTTGGATAGCACCTTTTGTGAGGGGTTGAAAAAATCGGCGCATGCTAGTATTTTTGAGCACCGATTTTGTCATCTTGATAGATTTGTATATTTACTCTTATATGTTGATAGCGACCAAGGATAAGTGGGAGATAAGAAAGGTGAAAACCCGCTCAGTGAAGAATTCGATATTATTGTTTGACAAAGTCACTCCTTGTAGTCAAGTTTGAGTGTTACTTGAACTTGATTGGTATTTGTTGTTGAGTTTATCCTTAAGGGCTTTTATTGAAGAGGTTGGGAGTTTTTTTGTTGAAGAGTGTAGTTTTAATCTTTGCATTGAAATTTGTATCAAGGTGACAATTTGTTAGAATTTGGGTGTGATTTCTATTGGGAGTTTTATTAAGAGCTGATAGTAACCCATCAAATCAAAGAGTTTTGACCGCTTCTCTTATTGTCATCTAATTTTCCTTTAAAATAATTATTTTCAATTAACATATTGTGTTCAAAATTAACTTTAAAATAAAAATATATTAAATAAAAAATTTATTTATAAGCTAAAATATAATATTATAATTAAATAAATTACTTTGTAAATAAAATATTACTTATATGATAAAAAATTACTTTTGTGTAAAAATTTGTTTATGAAATAAAAATTCAATTATAATATATAAAAAGTTACTTACAAGTAAAAAACTTACTTATGTGTAAAGTACAAATTAACTTATAATTATAAAATTTACTTATAGGTAAAAAAATTCATTTAAAATTTTGAGTAAATATTTAAATTTATTTAACTTTTTATGTTAAATATTAACTTAAATTGCCTATAAGTAAAATATGACTAATAATATTAATAAAAAAATAATATTAAAAGAAATAATTGAAAATTTCGCTAATGGACATATATTTTAAAAGAAAATATAAAAAAAAAAGTTTAAAAAACTTTTAGAACCGATGAATAAAAACCCTCAAGTATGAATTTTACAGTTTTAAAAATTGCTACCAAAATTACTCAAAATCGATCGATTCATAAACTCTCAAAATAAGTACTTTTAAAAAGCATATAATCAGTACCCAAAACTCCCAAGCGGGGCCCTAAATGTAGTCAGCAAATGAATAACAGAAATTATATTCGTCTAGTATTCAATATATCAATCTCATTATATTTTTGATAATTTTTCGCTTAAAATTTAGGATTTAGTAGAATAATTATGCACTTTAAAAACCATTTTCAAGTTATCATTGTTTCAGGAAATTTTGTTGGATGAGTTAGTGATTCAAACAAGGTAACTCGCTTTCATTAAAGAGGGGCCGGTGGCTCTCTTCAAAGTCAAAGAGAGGACGTGGATCTCTTTAAAAATCAGAGTTTTTTAATTAAATACGGATATCTAATCTTATCCACGCATAATGACACATTTACTTACAATTTATGTTTGAATGTTTAATTACACTTCCCGTACTCTCACATCCTATATTCCTTTTAGATCCATTACATAGAGAAACTTGATCCCTTTTTTTTTTCCAAGCATTAATTTTATTAGAAATTACAAGAACTCATGTCAATTCATAATTAAGAGTTACAGGTTTTTATTTCAAATATCATATATATTTAAAACTTTAAATCATAATAACAATAACCTAACCCACTCCACCCACCCTATAATCCTAATTCATTTACTTTCCAAACCTTAAAATCATTCCATCCTCTTCTCCCTCTTTCCATCTCTCTACCAACAACTCATGGCGCCACAACCCCTTATGGCGACTGTTGCTCTCCTTCCTTGCACCATTGTCGCTTTTTGCCAAACCACCTCGCACCAATCTCTACCACTCAACCTCTCAACACAACTGTTGCGTTGTACTGCATCATCTCGTACAGACCCCACCACTCAGCCGTGTTATGTGTCATGGTTTGTAATTTGTATCGATCTATGGACAAGCAGTTGCCATGGTCTGTGATTTGTTGTTTTGTTTTTGTTGGCTGTTCGAACGGTGGTGGTGGTTCCCGTGGTTCTAGTGATGTTAGGGTGTTTTTATTAGCGATGGTGGTTGTGTTAGTGGTAGTGGATAGGATGGGATGAGGGTGTTTGTAACCAATTATTTGGCTAGTTGTGATCAATAAATTAGTTAATTTATTTTAAATAAATAATGTAATCTAAAATATGTGATTGCAACTTATATTTTATTAAGTTGTATTGATAAATATTTTGTAATCAATTAATTTGATATTTTGTGACCACGGAATAAGTTGTGACTTACAAATTTTATGATTTATGATCAATAAATAATATGTGACCAATTAATTTGATGAATTCGTGACCAATGAATAAATTGTAATCTATAAAATTTTTGGTTTGTGACATTGATATAAATTGTGATCTATAAAATTTTTGATTTGTGATCAAGAAATAATTTGTGACCAATTAATTTGATAATTTTGATCAAATTGTATAAAATTGAGATTTTAATGTATTTAATTGATAAAATATAAGTTTAATTAATTAATTTTTTATAAATAAATTAAAATGATGTCTGATTTTTAAAATTTTAAACATTGTTTCTTAATTTGAAATAGATCATATTTAATCTCTTAGATAAAAAAATTTCCCTAAATTTTATATGATAATGATTTAAACTAACCGAAGTCTAGTCTTTAAATTTTAGCCCATGTTTGATGACCCTCTTTTTTCATAATTCATTTTCAATCAAATATTCTTTCAATAACATAATTTTACATATGAACTCATAATTTTTCATATTTTTAATTGCGCATTCTCTAAAAAATAAATTTCCAAAAAATTTGTATCAAATAGAAACTTAGCAGAAAGCGCCTCAAATTGAAATAATGTGTGCAAATTTTTTCTTCCAAACAATTTGATTTGGTTAGTATAAAAACGAAAAAATGGGGCTTATAATTAAAAGAACCTTTTTTTTTTATTTTTTTATTTTTTTTAATTTCAATAGAAAAATTGCACGAGTTAATTAGGCGCCGCTAAGGCGCGAATCCATGTAACTTTACGGGCGTACAAGCACAATGCACCCATATCACTCGCTCAAGAGGTATTTTGTCTCAAAATTCTTCTCCTTTCCCCACCTTTAGCCCACTCCATAAAGCATTCTTGACATTTGGCAAATACCTAAGTAATCTGTGTTAGAACTTCAAAACTTTCTAAATAAGCCGTATCAGTAGATGTCACCAAGACGAGGACAAGATGAAAAAAGAGATCCTTTGCCACTACATTTTTTTCTACTAAAGTTTGAATAATTCTAGTTAACAAGGGCCGTGTTGGAGGGGGCATCGGTTGGTCAATATTGGGGCGCGGCGCCCTGTTACGGCCCTTGTCACAGTAGCCCAACCCTTAAAGTTTCTACCCTCATAGACCTTGTCATGTCATGAATTTTTATTATCTTATCTTAAATACTCTCTCGATCCTTATTTATATAAGATGACTTTCTTTATTTTCTTGTCTCAATCTTGTTTTTTATTGAAAATGTTTTATTTTATTTATTTACTAATATACCCTTATTTAATTTGTCTAATTATAACCAATTTTTTTCCACATAATCTTAAAAAATGTACAAATATAAATAATGATAAATTATGAAAACTTTTGGCAAAAATTACTTTTTTGATAACATTAAATAAGATTTCTTAATCCTTGTTTATAAAAAAAAATAATAATAATAATAACAACAACTATCTATATAAATGAAACGGAAGAGTAAGTTGCAAAAATTAAATCGTGCATCGGAATGACACCAACTACTCTACCTTCTAAGTATGCGATTCACTTTAAGAGATTGTTTGGTAGGGATTTTGATAATTGATATTTTAACTGTTAGAGATAAAGTGGATTCTATCTCTGAGAGAAGAATTAAAAAATAATGATTGAAATAGTAAAATAATGATCAAAAAATTGATTTTAATTTACTTTTAATCCGTAACAAACAAACACTAAATATTCACCTACAATTTTCTATTATCTTAGGAGAATAATTAGACATCCATCAAATAAGTTGATCATTTTGTGAGAACTTATTTTGTGTAGCATAATGATGAATGTAATAGTGAAATTAATTAAAAATACAAAAGATGGAAAAATCAATGATAGAGGTCGGTGCGGGTTTATCCTTATATGACCCACGCTTTTCACATTGATTGAAAAACGTTGCTTCATCAGATGCAAATACAATATTCAGAATATGCTTCTTCATTTTCTTTTACTCACAACCTAAGCAAACTTTATATACAGATACTTTGTATCTATCCATCCATCTTCGCTCTGTAAAATTTTGAGCTTCTTTGAGAATCTCGAGTAACTATGGCATCTGGGCTATCGGGTAGGGGACGAGATTCGGGCACGAAATCTTTCGATTTCGGGTCGGATGATATTCTATGTTCATACGAAGATTTCGGCAATCAGGATGGGAATAACGGAAACCACGCGGATCCGTCTTTTCTAGCTAATTCGACTAAGGTAATTCTTTGAAGAATTTATGGTCTTCTTTGTTTCTATTTTTTCAAATTAGGTTTTGATTTTACGTGTAACTTTGGGATCGATTGTTGATATTTGGTCTTCAGTGTTTACTTTTGTTTATTCATGCTATTGAATCTGGTTCTTCTTCTTCTTCCCTCCCCCCCCTTCTTTTTCGTTAAAACTTAGATCGTTATTTCTTTTTCTTGAGCTGTGTGAAAAAATTTTCTACTCAGAATAATAAGGAATTTGAAGTTGATTTTGTATATTTATGTGTTAATTTTTTCTGAGATAAGAAACCATGCTTCTGTGGTTAAGATGAAAGTGGATTTGAAAGATAGAAGGAAAATGATAATTAAACGAAAGGAGTATATGTTGTGCATATTACCAGGTTTACAGGAAGGCGTCCTTTTATTTGAAGATGCTATCACAACCGTCAAAAGTTTGTTAATTAATCAGGATGAAAGAAATTAGGTTCGGATCATCACTATAACAACTTTATTACTGAAAACTATCGGGAGAAAATTAAATGTTCTCAAGGAATAAGGCGAAAAGAAATGAGTGGAAATGGTTTTTACTAATATCTGGAGTCATAGGAGAAGGTGAAGAAGTTTTAGTCGTGAACTTGATGATCATATAGTTCTTTGTTCATTATCTTTTCTTGCTTGAGGGATGCTTGATTAGTCTCTGCCTTTTGTTAGTGTCGGTTTTCACATTTTTTCTGGATTTTTGGGTGTTGATCAAGTTTGTATAAGCCTCATAATGATTCTGTGCTCCAAATTAAGCAGGAATTTCACAAAAACAGAGTAGCTAGATCATCTGGTTTTCCTACTACTTACAGCCCACCAGAAGAATCTTCATTTAATCAAGATGTTATCTGTACTGTTGATAAGACCATGAAGAAATATTCAGACAATCTCATGCGTTTTCTTGAGGGAATTAGCTCGCGACTGTCACAGTTGGAATTATATTGTTACAATCTTGACAAATCTATTGGGGAAATGCATTCCGAGTTAGTTCGTGATCATGGAGAAGCAGAGACAAAGCTCAAATTTCTGGAAAAGCACGTCCAAGAGGTGTGTAAAATCTCTTGTAGTTTTCGTTTTCATTACTTTTATGCTTAGTGAGGTCCTAGATATGAGTTGAGCTTTTTCATTTTTCTTGGTGCAAGGATCATATGATGCATTCATTAAACCCATTTAAAGGATATGTTTGGTTGGCAAGTGTTGGTAGATATATTGCATCACAGGAGTGTAAATGTTGTCCTGCTTTTGCTATTTTTTTGAATCCTATTGATCGTTTTTGCTGGATACTTCAGCTCATATGTTGTTTAGGTATCTTTCTAGTTTCAACATGGTATATTTCCCAAAAATCATTATTGTTGGTGGTGTTATAATCATAAATTTTCCTGTCATCAGTTATTATAGGTTAGATGTTTTCTATGCATTGCATCAAATTCTAACATTGAACCTTTGCACACAGGATGAGTTAATTATTACGGGATTTCACTCCATTGCCCCCCCCCCCCCCGCCCCCCCTCTTTTTCCCTCTGCGTGTCTGGACATTTATTTGTGTACTTCCTCATCTACAATGATCGTCTGAATATGCAAATGTGGCATCTTGGTTTGATGACTAGTGATATGGTTTAGTGCATTCTTACTTATATGCCGGATCCAGTTCTTCTTTCTTCATATCTGTCTTGATGTAGACAAAAATAGAAATTCTTCTGGCGCTGCTGATGATCTAGTTTTCTGATTTTTAATGCAGGTTCATAGGTCTGTGCAGATCATAAGAGATAAGCAAGAACTGGCTGAAGCTCAAAAGGAGCTAGCCAAGCTTAATCTTGTGCAAAAGGAATCCTCTTTGGCTAGCAATTCACAGCAGAACGAGGATAGACCATCACAACCTGCTATTGAGGCCAAAAAGAGTGATAACTCATCAGATGCACATGGTCAGCAATTGGCACTTACTTTACCACATCAAGTTGCTCCTCAACCACTCCCTCCTGTACAACCCATTGAGCATCAGCAGGCTCCTCCTATGGCACCCCCACCATCCTTGGCTTCTCATAGTATGGCACAAGCACAGTCGTATTACTTGCCTCCATCTCAGGTTCAATATCTGCCCACACAAACTCAAGTTCAAGATCTCTCTAGGATGGCACCTCAGCAGACACAATCAAACCAGAGCCCGCAGGTACAGTCGTTACCCCAATATCAGCAGCAGTGGACACAGCAGCCACCTCAGCAGGTTCAACAACCCCAGCAGCTCCATATGCAACCACAGATTAGATCCTCATCTCCAGCACTTTATCCTTCATATCCACCAAATCAGCCAAATCTTTCTGCAGAAATGACCCCTAATAGCATGCCAATGCAAGTGTCATATTCAGTAACATCCCAACTGGGCACTGCTGGACCTGAGGCAATGTCTTATGGTTATGGTGGTGTTGGCAGACCAAGTCAGCCTCAACCTCCCCTGCAGCATCCGAAGACTGCATACAATGCACAATCGGGAGATGGGTATATGCCTAGTGGACCTCGTCCAGCACTTCCCTCGGGAAATGCTTATATGATATTTGATGGTGAAGGCGGACGGACACACCAACCAACCCCACAATCTCACTTTCAACAAAATGCTTATCCTCCAAGTAGTGTCCCTCCCCAAAACCCACAGCATATGGCTGGCTCTAATATGATGATTCGTCCACCTCAATTAATGCGCAGCCATCCCTACAATGACTTGATCGAGAAGCTGGCGGGCATGGGTTACAGGGCTGATCATGTTGTCGGCGTGATTCAAAGGTTGGAAGAAAGTGGGCAGCCTATTGATTATAATGCCGTTCTTGACAGGCTGAATGGACATTCTTCTGGAGGTTCTCAGAGAGGATGGTCTGGGTAAAGCATTCCGCAAACAATCTCTTAATTGCTAGTACAATTTCCATAAATTTGGTCTTTTCATGCATTGAATAAAGGATGGTAAGAGTCGCATGATTCAGTATATATAGGGATGAAGAGATCGTTTTTATATTTGTAATCTCTTTCCCTGTGTTGTTATGTTGCTTGTTATTATAAATCACGGTTTTCTTTTTAATTTGCAATGGATAAGACTGAATGGCGTTGTTCTATGAATAGCACTCCCTAGAGGGCAATGAAAGGGATGGGGGAGACGGGATGGTGTGGCAGACAGTGATTGGGTGTGTTTTTTTTTAACCGTCCAATTATGTATTGACTCGTGTCCCTTCTCTGTAGCAAGATTGTTGTTATATTTATGCTGTCTTATTTGATTCTGCTTAATTTTCTTGCTGGAGGCCTTGGAATAATAGAGGGGTTTTTTTAGGTCATGTGCCTTTTTTCTTGGCTGAGGTGAAATTTTTTATATCTGCAAATAGGAAATCAGTAGTATGAAATGTGTGCTCTTAGATTATTTCTAAGCCTCCGTTTGGTAACCAATTTTTTTTTTATAGATTCAGTTAAATTTCAACCACAATCAATAATTACTCATTTATTAATCACACATATGGTAAAATTTACTACTATTACTTTTATTATTTATATTTCTAAATGATTTATAAAATTCTCAAATGGTGGCTAAGTAAATGAGAAACATGGTAGCTCCAATTGCTTTGGCTACGCCCATCTGCTGGCGCTCAGCTATACAACTAAAACAAAGAAAATATATGAAAAGGCATGATTGCTCCTATATGAATTGAGATGAATGAGATTAGTTGTACACCCAAATGTCTACACTTTGATTGACACTTTCTATGTGTTAAAAATCTAACCATTGATTGGAAAAAGTGTTTTTAAGATCAATATATTCAAATTTGCCAACACACGGGAGTGTAAACCAAAGTGTAAATCAAGGTGTACAAATAGTGTGGCTCAATTGAGATACCGCACTCTTTGTTTCGGTTTTAATGCGATGTGAATCAAAAACATCAAACAAGAATTGGTTTCTCCCGAAATGAAGGCGTCTAAATGCACCTTCGAGCAAGCTGTCTTATTAGGACTTCAATCAGTTTCGCATGGTTAACAAATGAGCCACCATTGAAACGTACCCAATGATGTCATGCTTGCCTTTGGTACTCTAGAAAAGCAAATTATATTTGAAATGTGTATAAGAAATACAGAAGCATTAGCTCACTGCAAAAAAAGGTGATCAAGCCACTCTTCCTGTTGAGGCTGTATTGTTACTCCTTGACTGATCGTTAGCTTTATCTCAAGGGAAAATCCATTGTTGAAAAGTACAAAAAGCAATCCTGCTTATGATAAACGCCTGAGAAGTATTCCCAAATAAGAAAAATACCAAATATAAACAATAGATGGGAGCCAGTTACTGAAATGCTTTTTAAAAATAATAAATTTCACTATTACTGAAAATAAAATTTTCAAGAAATAAACTATAAAAACTTCTCTCTGTTGAGAAACTTGAGATTATATTCAAATTTCTGGTTTCAAAAAATACAAAATTTTATCTGTCGAGAAACTTGAGTTTATATTCAATATATTATAATTGTTGACCTCCAAAAAGTGTCAACAGGTGTCGATCAAAATGATGCACACGTGGACGTATTATTCAATATGTGGATTGTAAATTTAAACACATGTTCAATTACTAATCAAATATGGTTAAGTGAATAAGCAAGATAAGCACTTGTAAAGGAGGCGAGTGGGTTGATGTAGAGAGAAAAATACAATATTCCTTTTTAACACATGCAGATTCATCCCCTAAAAATGTTGCAAAGATCATTATTTATAGTAATTAGGTTGACGTGGTAATCGTTGAATCAGATCAGTGACCTCGTCTGCTATGTCCTGGTACCGCATTATCCTATCTCACATTAATTATATTGACAGATATTTAATAATGGGTCAGTCGCCCTATATTCCTAGATTGTAGAGTTGGAAACGGTTCAGCTCGGGGTCGGTTCGGTCAAAATCATCACTGAACCACCGATTTTTTGGCCATACCATAACCACATAAGTCGGTTCAGTTCAATTCATATCTCGATTCAGCTCGTTAATAATCATGAAAATAATTTTTTTTTTATAGATCCAACCGTCAAATTAAAAAAAAAAAAACAAGATGACGAAAAAAGTTCTTTGTAAAGTAAAGCAGTATGAATCATTAGATACATGGAGTTCCATCGAGTCTTGCAAACGAGAAGAGAGAAAAATACCCCCTATTTGGGGATGGCGAGTAAAAAAGAATACGGTATGGAGAAGAAAAAAATTTTGGGGACGCACTGCAGAGACTCGAGTGAAGACGGCTGTCGGCTAATGTCTCGTTGAATTTGATTCCAATTTTCTTTGTGGTAAGGTTATTACCTAGTGGGTAAGTGGTAACTGGATTATGTTACTTAATGGGTCAGTAATGGGCCATAAATTTTGAGCTAGACAAATTATAATAGAACGAATAATGGAAAGTCTAATTGTCCAATTTTTTTAATGGGTAATCGATTCGGGGCAGTGCGACAGCGCAAATACCATACTCACCACGTCCCAAACCGGGTCAATAAAATTAAATACTATATCCGCCCCATAGCACCATCGGTTAAATTTTTTTGCCCCAATCGATTCAGTTAACCATAGTTTTCGATTTTGACGATTCGAATCGTCATCCCTACTAGACTGACATTCCTGACACACATTTAATGAGAATTTCACATTAATCAATCCTAAAGATACGGCTGTCAGACCTACTCTTGAAAGTTGTGGATTTCGGATGTGAAGGGGTTCGGTAGAAAGGAGAAAACCACTTCGGCAAAAAAAGGAGAGCACTTCGGTAGTTGGGCCTTGGTTATTCGAAGGAGAAAACTTCAGCAGTTGGGCTTCGGCCAATGTTCCTTTCTTTATCTAATTAATGCCACGTGTGTGCACGCAAGACTTCCACACGTCCCAATCTCATATGGCCAATAACAAGAATATCATTCAAGTTAAAAGTTTAATATAATAAATCAATAATATAAGGAAAGTTAATATTGTTATAAAAATTAATGGAACAAGAGAGAAATATAAGAGAAGAAATAGATATAATCAAAACCCAAGTGCGTATTATATTAAAAAATCTATGCCCCATATTTATATGATTCAAATAAGAGCTACAATTAGAGTAGAATAAACTCTTATAGACTATATAAGATTTTAAATCTATTGGTTGAGGAACTTGAGATTTTATTCCATATATTCGAATATCATTCGAGTTAAAAGTTCAATATAATAAAATAATATGAGGACATTTAATACTGTTATAAAACTAATGGAACAAGAAAGAAATATAATAGAAGAAATAGATAGAATCAAAACTTTATTAAAAATGAATGCCCCCATATTTATAGGATTCAAATAAGAGTTACAATTAGAGTATAATAAACTCTTATAGAGTAGATAAGATTTATCTATGTATTATGACAATACTAAATAATCATCAATTATTATCTCATAGTTTTACAATACTCCCCTTTAATGACTATTTATACAATAACTATCTTATTAAAAATCTAGTCTAGAAAAATTCAATGTGATAAAAATACCAAACAAAGGGAAAAACGAGTAAAAGTATTTGTAACAAAATTGGAGTACTAAAATGCTATCTTGTTAAAACCTTGTCAAAAAAATTCAGTGGGACAAAAACTAAGCTAAGGAAAAAGAATACAGCTGCTCCCCCTAATTTCAATAAATGAAAATTCTTGCATGAGGTCATCCATGTTTTGTACGTCAATGTCTTTAATATCGCAATTTTTGGTGAAGTGTGTCTCATGGTGTCTTGTTAGTCTTCAAGCAATATTGTCTTCATATAAGATATTTATCAATCTTAATGACTGTAGTAATACGATAATTCGGAAAACATCTCTTGCTCTTTTCAGGAGTCTCATACATGTAACAGTATTATTTTGAGAGTAATGTCTTATATGTTATGGATATTCATTATATAAAGAATATGCCTCATTAAAAACCTTATTAGAAAAATCATGTGAGAAAGAATATGCCTCGTTCTGTCACAAGCTCATTCTTTCAACAATAACATTAATAGTCATATCAAATGAGTACTATAATCGCATTTCAAATTTCATGTATTGTCAGGATAACAAGAATGAACTTGTGATTGCATCCACAACGATCTTTGCAAAATTTATTATTTTGAAAGTTGTGTATTGCATGTTATGATTTTGTTTTTTTACTTACTTCTCACATATTTTTACACATTTAGATTTTCGGATTACAGGTCCAGAAACTTCAAGTTTCTCTAGTAATTTTATTACGAATGAGTCATTTTATCTGGTCAATTATTTTTTTGTCCTTCAATGAATTTATTTTGATATCTTTGCTTATTTATAATATGAAGCGATATATTATGTACAAAAATATTTTCGACAACTTTTTCATTTCGGTTCTATTTATTTCTCATGACAATATAACTTATTGAGATATCTCCACTTTCAGTATTTCAAATACCTAAACCTCTTCTTGGATTTTATAATTAGTTATGTTTATATGTTCCCCAAAAATATACGCCTTCTCAATAAAATCTTTTTTCTTATTTATTTCATTTTCTTTTGAAGATTTTGTTTTGGAACTGTAATCCACAGGAAAACAATCATGAAAGATTAGTGTTTCTCTTTCTTGTGCTAGCACGGTGTAGTTGTGTCGTGAAAATTTCAAACCCTAAGTATTTATTAACAGATGATTTAAGCGGGCTTGACCCACCCACTAAACATAAGTCGGTTCGCTAGTTAATTAATCTAATTAATTAAATTTTACCTATTAATAAACAACTCAATTCATTAATTGTACAAATGTCTCAGACGTGTCAATTAATTAATTCTAGCTATCATTATTTTAGTTCCCGCTTTTTGTGTGTGACTTATTAGTTTATCACTCACAATATCAAATGACATGAATTATTCTTTTGATCTAAACAAAATAAGATAATTAAAATTCCCTTTTTTTTAAAATTTATCTCCAACTCATCTAGATTAATAATTCACCTTCGTCGTCCCTAATTGACATCGGCAATGTGTCAGGATAATACATGGGGTGAGAAATATCACATGATGTGACAAAATCAAACTTTTTCGTTTATTGTGGAACCATAATCCATTCATCAAAATAACTCGATCAATTATAAGAGATGAAAATGTGTAAACCTTGATTAATCGGTCATATCTTTCATCCCGCTCTTAAGTCAATAATCGTCGAAGCTCTTTTGGATTTATGAACTCACTTTGGCCAAGAATTTCGATATCAACTTAAATGAATGAGATGCATGTCATAATCTCTTATTATCTAAAAATGACGAAGCA